TGATTGCGTTCTAGTCTTCTTCATGAGGGAATGTTTTTTCTTCATTTAATTTTAGTTAGCTCTAACGTGAATTTTAAGGCAATTAAAATAATGCAAATGTAAAATACGCTTGTAGTAATATTATTAAACTCGTTTACGTGAAATTTTCTGCATGTGCATTGTAAATATATTTTCTTCGTGAATTCCATTCATACCGAATTTTCTACATGAATCATCATCTATACAGGGTGTCCCAGAAAAAGTGTTAGAGCCAAAATGATTCTGAACAACAATTTCCTTTCGTAAAATGCAAAATGAGCCATGGTTTTTAAATTGTTGATGAAAAACATTGACCAATCAGAGCATGCGTAGGGCTCGCACCCAGCCGCAGGTAGGTTGGCTACCTTGATGCTCGGCCGTGGCTTAGCGCGGGCCCTATACGCTCTTTTATTACATTTATAGAATCACCCCTTTTCGGCTCTAACACTTTTTGTGGAACACCCTATATACTATAAAGGTTTTGTTAGGATAATGGTAACTTCTCGCAATAAAGGTAATTTCGTACCTACTCGTAGTGATGTCTGAATATCTGCTTGTTGAAGATGGACATTTTTCATTGTTGTTTTTTATTTCGTAGCTAATTTATAAATATATTTAACAAACGATATATTTCAAGTAATGCGTATACAATTAATTATAATTACAATATTATGGATGATATTTTTCGTAAGAGCATGGAAAACACAATTGACAAGTGCACCACGCACACGGGAGTAGTTGGAAATAATTAAAGCAATTAACGAAAAACAAATTTGGGACCTAACAAACTTTATTAAAATATAGTTTAAATATAAAATATTAAATAGTTTAAAATTTAGAGCATTTTGTTTAGAAGAATAATCCTAAAAACAGAATATTATAAAAACAGACAGTACAAGACTACATAATTAAGCAGTAGATTAAGTGTAATTGAGTATTAGACTTGCAAATAATATAATTATTGTATATACATATAAAACTATAAGCATATAACTCAAGTCACATAAGTGGAGTAGAACTTCAATTATATGTATAGGTATAGATTGTACTAGGCTAA